GCTCCGGTGCTAGTAGCGTCCGGTATCATCATGGCCATTGAGACCAGCAATACTGCAATAGCACCGACAAGAATGTCGAGAACCAGAGTGAGCCAGCGCTGGATGCAAAACATCAGGTAGTACGGCCGTTGGGATTCATCCAAGAGTTCAAGTGAAGTTTCTCGGAAGGCAGTTTGCCAGCCGAAGGCGCGGATGGTTGACAGGCCATCGATGGTCTCGATCAACTTGGTAAGAAGAGGAGCCTGCGCCTGAAGATCGAGGAATCGCATCTGGCGAGAAGTTCTGAGGTAGAAAGCCTGTAGGCAGTAGAGAGCGAGCAAGGCGAACGGGATGACAGCTGCAAGATATTTGGCACCAATGACAATCAGGACAGCTCCTGCCAAGCAATCAAGCACAGCTGAGAGGGATTAGCTACGTAGTCTCGGTGATACCCGGGACAAGCCACTCACCGATTGAGGTCATGAACAACGCTGTAGGAAGATCTCGGTCAATGTGAGACAAGTCCTGACTGAACCTGTAAAACATGTTAGGCATCTACAGCTTTAGAGATGATTCTGATATCATTACCTGTTGATCAAGTCGCCGGTGTCTGTCGATCCAAAGAACGACAGCGGGGCCCTGTAAAGTAGTAAGCAACGATGTGCACCACGGTTTGGCAAAGTGTGACCCGCCTCATGACAGACTGGAGAAGTGTCCAGTGCAAGCTTTGAGAAGACTTAGGCACGATCAGAACAAACATGATCCTGTAGGCTTCTGTTAGCAGAGCCGGGATTATCAGTCGGCAGGAATATGCTTTGGCAATGTACCAGATATTGACGCCAATAACAAACAAGCCCACGACAGAAATCGCAGAGTAGACTCCGAAGTAGAAGCCTGTGTCTGATGGACCGGTCCTTGCGTCCTCCTCCGTCCAGATCTTGAGCCAAATTTCTATCAGAGGTCAGAAACCATAGTCGATATAATTATTTGAAGGGAACATGAACTTACGAGGGAAGACTCGGAAGAAGCAGTCAAGAATCAAGGATATCGCACCGGCAGAGCCATACCACCAACCGATGGACTTCAGGTAGTACCAGTAGAGGGTAGTGTCGCCCGCCTTTCTCAAGAGGTCCTGCTCTGATTCAGCCTCTACCCCTTTGGTTTGTGGTTGACTTTGCTGTCGAAATCCTGCGACTGAAATAGTCTCAGTGTCCCTTGCATCACTGGGCTGCGCATTCTCGAAAGAAAGGCTCTGAAGATAGGCGCTCTCCCGAATAGTGTCAAAATTGCCTTGGCTGGCAATACGTCCGTCATCGCCCAGGATGAGGATTTGATCCGCAAATTTGAGATATCTCACTGCAGACAGTATGAGTACAAAGCCTCTCTTGTGAAATCTTGCCGGGGATATATGAGTTTCCACTTACGTGAGTGTGTTGTTAGGATCACGGTTGCCCCATATTGGCGGACAAGTCCTCGTGGACTGAAAAGACAGTCCCAGATATGAGTCTGGGTTGCGTTGTCCAGCCCACTCAACGCATCATCAACAACTAGAACAGGCTTTCTAGAGAATACTGCTCGCGCCAGAGCCTGTCAAAGCCAGTGAGCGATTATGCACGATTGACAGCAAGATGAAGAATATTAACTTACAACCCGTTGCTTTTGACCTCCGCTCAGGGATTGGCCTTTGCTTCCAACCACTGTGTGATCTCCGTTTGCTAGCTGAGAGAAGTCGGGTACGAGAGCGCAAGCATGTACCACCCTTTCGTACCAGTCCTCATCAGTCGGTGTCTCACCGAGAATATTTTCCTTGACGGTTGCTGTCGTCAGCCAGGTTGTCTGAGCACAATACGCTACAGGACCTTCAAGAGTCTTGACCGATCCGCTAGTCGGAAGTTCGCCGAGGAGTCCCCGAAGAAGGGTGGTCTTCCCCGAGCCAATTCTGCCAATCACGGTAGTCATGGTGGAAGGGGCAATGTGGAGGTTGATATCGCGCAGAATGGGTTCCTCGTCAGCCTTGAGCCTGAACGAACCGTTTTGAACTGTCGCGATATCTCTCTGCTCGGAAGATGGCTCGGACGACGTTTTCGGCCGTATCGTACCCATCTCTATGCCATGATCAGTTCCGGCATGCCCAAGGTCGTCAGAGTGGCTTGCAGCTTCAAGAGAATCAGGATCTACGACCGTTGATGGCCTACCCTGTTCAAGGAAGGCTTGAATCCTCTCAAAACTTCCCAAAGATGCTACTAAGCTCGGTACCGAGGTGATGAGCTGCGCAAGAGGCCCAGCAATTAAGTCGATAATGGTCAGAGAAGTGAAGACAGTGGCGATAGAGAGTGACAACCCGGCGTTGATCTTCTGCGCAAGGATGGCAAGGCCAAACGTGACAACAGGACCGATCATTGATGGGGCGTTGCCTGGATAGCGAGGTGTCAGCTTGTGATATAAAGAGGTTAAGAACCTCAAGCTTACCGAGCATGTTCATATAAGTGATGAATCGGCGATACTGCTTCGCTCTGCGCAGCTCTGCCACTCTCAGGTCTTGAATCGCACGCTGAAGGAAGTCTACCATTCCTAGCATCTTCGACTCCTTAATTGCACTAAGAACTTCTGAAGTGACTGTAATGCGCTTTTGGATTTCTTCGTTCCAAATCTTCGAGGCTCGAGGCATAAGTTTCGACAACCTCGCCATACCAATTGTGCAAGCTCAAGTCGATGTTAGATCAAAAGCATCATACTTCAGTTCGAAACAGTTGCTTACCGATAATGGTTACAGCCGGTCCAACGCTTCCAAGACCAAGCTGTCTTTGAAGTAGCCATATGGCAATGCCTATCTCGATGGGATTTGCCCACACCTCATGAATCGTTTCGAACGACCTGCAAATGGTTCTCACGTCGGTGCTGACCAAGGTCAATGGCGCAGACGGATCGCTGGCCTTCGCTGTGTCTAACTCGAGATTATTGGACATGATGAGGGAAACCAAAGATCCACGGATTATCGTGATATAACGGAAGAGCTTGTGCTGGTAGAAACCTGTCGACAACTAACACAAGACGAGCCGTATCAGCGGAGAGAACTACAACCGAGCAGCTTCACTGTAACCCACCGCATTGCCCAGGTAGACTAGGCCCGTCGCAGCTATCAAACCGTACCCAATAGATTTGGAATCAGATCCGCGGTCCCCATCGACGTATTTGATGATTCGGTTGATGAGAAACGGTTGCGAGAACTTAAATCCAATCAGGAAGAGTCTGGGTACCGCTGTTACCAAAAAAGCCATCTTCGTCGTGCTGAAGATCGAGCGTAATAGGGCCCGCTTCCCATGCCCTCTTCGTTCATTCCACGCGGTGTTGAGGTTCTGGAGCAGGGGCTCGGACCGCATATCATCATCTATGTCGTAGAGTGTCGACGGAGATAAGGTGGCCTTGAATCCTTTCCCTAGCAGGCTGTTGAGCCACCAGAAGAAACCGCGGCCGATGATGCCGCTCGTGGCCTCGGGGCTCAAGTGGCGCAGAGCAGCGAGGAGGAATGTGCGTTTGCCTTGCACTTCGAGAAGAAACATCGTCAACTTCATTGCCAGCGCTGCGCAGGAGACGCTGGCCAAGTTGTGCAATCCGGGAAGCAGCCATAGTGTGCGGCATTGTACGGCGTCAAAGATGAGCGAGAACGCCAGGTAGACACAGATCGTGGTGGACGGTCGAATGGATCGGAGATGTTCTGCATGGCTGAGGAGAGTGAGGGCCAAGGCGTCTAGAACGCCGAGGACTGCGGCAGCGATAGAGACGCGGTTGGAGAGCGGTGTTTGCGTCCATAGCGCGAGCAAGGCGATCTGAAGTCCGCCAAAGACGATGCAGATGGCGATCTTTGCGACATTCAAGGGATGTCGTAGGACTTTGCGGCGTTGATGAAGAAGCTGCTGTAGCCGGAAAGGGAGGGCCAGAAGCAATACTGCAGACGGACCAATGTTCATGATAGATTGTTCGAAGAGTAGGGTGAAGTCAAATCGATCGCTACATACGGTTGCAGCGGGGCCAAAAGACCCCTCGCATTCGGCGATGGTCGTGAAATTGTCCATAGCGGCTGCGACGATTGATGAAGTTGCAAGTCGACGGTTTAGGAACCTCTTGTTGGACGAACTCGCCTAGTGTTTTACTATGCGGTGCTGCCAATCAAGCCAAGGATCCCTTGATGCGCCTAGGCGGCAAGTTTGGGGTGCTATCGTAAGTTCACACGGAGTCAGGGTCCATTCTGCTTCAGGACGCGAGAAATCTTGCGAGTCGGGCTATGACTCGCAATCTGGCGCGACAATAGCGACAATGATGCTGCTAGTGCTTAAGGGCATCAGGACTTCAAAGATTTGCTACCACAGCACGGTGCCACTAGCAACTGGATGAGCTCTGATCATCGAATGTCGGGTTGGTGACGAATTACACGTTGAATCATTCATCTTGGTAAGCCGTACGAGAGATTTCAAGCTTTTTCGGGCGGCTGAATGCGAGTCCCGAGATTGGGGGACGAATGTAAGAACGATCACCAAACAGGAAGGTCATCTGAACATGGAAATGAGTTGCGAATGCGCTAAGGATGTCACTTTCGAGCTCCAGGCGTTCGTGCCGAGATCCGGTTGAGTCTGGGGCTTAAGCTGCTGCCAGACAAGCCTGTGGAAACGCGGACGTGGGTACAAGCTGCGCGTATGGCTACGAGTTTTCTGGGATCGATGAACTTCAAGTGCTGAGGCCATCCTTGCCTGGACGTGATTGCGTCGAATCCAAAGTCTTCACGAATCACGGAGACGATGATGAGAGCCATAATCGCGGCACGATATTAAAGTGTCACCCACGAAGGCAGGCAATCAGTCCGGAGTAGCCCGTCGGGTCAGAAAGCTTGTCTGCCAGGCGACAATTACCGAGGTTTACATACCAAGCCAGGATACGGAGTACCTTAACCTTAAACAATCGAGCGAGCCTCTTAAATCTCCACCACCGCTACATGTAGACACGCTGCCGAAACTCTGGAAGCTCGTTTATCCATGCAATTTGATAATCTCTTCGGCTACCTTCTCGGCAGCAATAACAATTCCAGCTTGCTGATTCGCAGTGAAAATCCCATTGAGTATTCCTACGTCAACAATGTGCAGGTTTTTTGTTCCATAGACTTGCACGTTGAGATCAACGACGGGTTTACCACCTTCCAGAGCAGAGTCGGTTCCAAGACGGGTGGTTCCAACCCAGTGATTGGCAGTACGGCCAATATCCACAAACAATTACTCACACAATATGTTCAGCGCACTTACTTTCATATCGACTTCCGAGCGAAAAGTAAGATTGACTCACCTTTTGGACGTAGTCTCGCACGTCTTGACTAGGGGCGGGGTTGATCATTGTAGCGCCAGGAATGGATGAATTTGCCTTGACAACTCTACTGACTGTGGCTACAACAGTCTCAAAGTCGAGATTCCCTTCGTCATTGAAGTAAGAAAACACACTGACGTTCATAATGAGGGACGAGTTGATTGTGGCGCGACCCCTCGAAGTCTTGCCGAGTCCAAGGGCAGCTGCCATGCCAGAAGTATCTGTGGCTATGAGTAATGATCATCTGAGAACAGAAATATGACTACGCACTGTATGTCTTGCCTTTATGCGGCCCGCCAACATAGCTCGTCCATTCAAACCATCTTTCGATGCCATCCTCTCCTTTGACCGCATCCCAGAAGATGGGGTTGATGTCTGGGGCTGCTTGGGTCAGTATGCCTGATCGGTTGGCCGCAAGATTACTATCAGTCAATAAAGCCAAACCATCTCGCATGGAGAGGTCTGTTATCTCACATAGGTATGCTGCAGCGTCATCCGGACTGGGATTGTCGTAAGTGCTATTGAAGTCGTAGTTGGCTATGCCTGGGTACTCGAAGAGAATGTTTGTCTGAGGAGGATTAACTTAATTATACTACGCTGAAGCAAGTATTACGTTCACATGGTCGTCGAGGTTGTGACCGACCGGAAGATCAATCCACTGGGTAGAGTCGATGAATACGTCGCCTTCGGTTTTCTGGGCAGTCTCTAGCTGATCTTTCGGGCCAATCCCACCTTTCGAGAGTGTTAGCAGTCATCTCGCTATTGGATTGAGAGGGGAATACTCACTCCGAAACAGAATCTTAGCTGAGCCAAATACTCCAGCAGAACGAATGACTCGGTCACCAACAGCAAGTTTAACGGTCCATGTGAAAAGATCGGAATAGTCACCTCCTTATTTTCATACATGGCCAAAAATTGGGCATTCCCGATGAATGCAGTAGCTGGGCGCTGTCTGGCAGGTCTAATGCCTCACTGCGTGGGAATAGTGCTGCTTGACGGGACTTAAATCCTGCGCTTTTGGCTCATGGGATGAATCATCATGTGAGATAAATTTCAAGGTATCTTGTAGCGTTTGATACTCAAGGACTGCGGCATAGTATGTCTCCGAGATCCTGATAGAGACTAAGCACGGCCAAAGATCGAGATAGCCAACTTCATTCAGACATGGTAAGACCTATTAGGCAGCAATAAAAGTTTGTCGAAGTGGATTGAGTCCCAAGCTCAAATACATCAAGCTCCAGTGATAAAGCCCACCCACTAGCACATGGGAATCGCCATTTGGAGACTGACCAATTTCCTTTTCAAACGCTCAACTTCGCCTTGTGGGAAGAAACAAAAGAAGGTCTACTCACATCGGCCTTACACTTTCCAATGGCATAAGATATGAGCCCTCCACTTATCTTGGTAACAAAAGGTTTGACTAACGACCAGGAGCAGCAAGACGTTCATGGTACAAGACCGAAAAGTCGTCAGACCCGTCAAAAACTTCAAAATGAAAGGGACGAGACTCGAACTCGCGCGGGTTGCCCCACCAGGAAACAGATGTTAAGCTGACCTTAACCTGGCGCCATAACCAACTCGGCCACCCTTCCGATTGTTGGATCTCCGCTTTGAAATTTGTGTATATGGTGCCAGTCAGCTTGCTAGGGATCCCATCCTGTGTCCTTGCCATGCGTTGCGCTGACGAGTGCCTCATAATATTAGACTTACTCTTCAGGTTCGTATTCCAATCCACTGGGGACATTTCGCCGCATACTCAGCAATCACTTACGTTCGGCGTAATCACACTCTCTGGCAGAGAGATGGATCGTAGAACAAGAACGCGTCTGCAGCGATCGACCCGCGACTTGATATCCTGCATACAAGCAAACTCCGATGCATTTTACCATTCCACGCACAAGTCCTCCCACAGCTGAAGTACCAGCCTTATGTCAGGGATAGGAGGAATGCTTTTGTTGGAAACTGAGAATATTCGTGATTCAGTTGAGCGCTGAAGATGTTTGCCTTGTCCAAAGCACCGTCGCACGGTCCAGCGCTACTAAGCCGCTTACCACAGCCCTATCATGGCCTGGATCACGCCGTCGAGCCCTGGAAATCCCCAGACTTGGCGCGATAGTCCCCGGAGAACTACAGCGTGACTTGTTTGTATTCGGATTCTGAGAAGAAGTGTTTGGGGGAAGAACGTCCCTCAACTAGGAGAGGATCAAAGAAAAAAAATTGACATTGACGTTGGAAATGAGGTTGAACACCGACATGGAAATCTCAAACCTTATTTGAACAAAGCGTGGAGGTGGCTTGAAGCTGAGCCGAAGAAAGCAACAGTGAAGAAGGTTTGAGACATCTGCTTGTCATCAGACGAAGCGCGCAGGCACGAGGCACCCAGCCGGCTGGATGACTGTATACATCGGCAGACGGCAACATCCATTCGATCACCGCAAGTGCGCTAATCTTTTCCATTTCTGCGGCACGTAATCTAGACTGAAGCCATTCTGTTACTTTCGATATCTGTTCCGTTTTCAGTCAACACCTCATTGCACCCGCACATTCCTCTAGCTCCGCTTAAAGGCAAGTCAAATTCTCGGAAATCTAGAGCGGCGTGAGCGACAGCACTAATCTTGTAGATCCGATCTTGGAGACGATAGTCATGCCATCTCCTCGGGCCGGCCGCATAGATCGGACAGATCCGGCCGAAGAATTCATCTCGTTTCTTTTTGGATGGGTGAAGTGACCAGCTGTGGTCCATGATGACCGGAAACGGATCATATGGAGTGCAGACTGGAGTAAAGCTAGAAGCCAAATTTCCGTATCGAAGATCCGCTTTAGAGAGCCTGGGAATGTTCCCATGACCGCCGCATGCATCCGCAAGCGATGGCCGCCCAAAAAGCACCAAAATCTCCAATTAGAGGCTGCCTCAAAAGTCGGGAGGTTTAAGTACCGTGTCATCCAGACTGAACTGTCGTCAATTCTATCAGCCCCCAACGCAGACCGCGGCTTTCTTTGTTGTAAGGTCCATCAACATCAATACTTTGTCGTCTTGTGAAGAATGGTTAAAATCGCCATTGTTGGAGTGCTGTCCTTGGCAGGGATCGCTGCAACGGCCACCTCTCCAGATCAGACCTGTGGAGGTTCCAACAGTTACACCTGTCCAGGATCTCAATGCTGCAGTCAATACAATTGGTGGTAAGGTTAACCTCGATGATGATAGACGAGACTGCGAAGAATTACCAAAGCTGACCTGGTACACTAGCGGAACAACTGACGCACACTGCGGAACAGGATGTCAATCCAAGTTCGGCAAATGCACCACTGGCTCTAGCAGCAGCGGGAGCGGCAGCACCAGCACTAACGGCAAGGTCAGCTCGGATGGCACCTGTGGCGGCACCGCGGGATACACCTGTAAGGGAAGCACTTTCGGAACCTGTTGCAGCCAGTGGGGATATTGCGGCAACACAGATGCCCATTGCCTCAACTCTTGCCAGTCAAAGTTTGGTGACTGCAGCTCCGTCACCAACGGTGGCAAGACGGTCAGCCAGGATGGAACCTGCGGTGGAACAGGTGGGAATACGTGTCGAGGTAGCAACTTCGGTGACTGCTGCAGTCAGTGGGGATATTGTGGCTCGTCTACCGATCACTGCAGCACCGGCTGCCAGTCATCCTTTGGAACCTGCTCTGCGTCCTCAGGCGGAGGGGCTGCGGCCTCTTCTTCAGCAGCGCAGCCTGCATCCACTGGCGTCAAGATGAGTCCAGACAACACTTGTGGTGGCTCCAATGGCTATACATGCCCTTCTGGCTTGTGTTGGTAAGTCATAGACAATACTTCTTCCTATACTCTTGCATTAGTAGACCACTGACAAGTTATCTTATAGCTCGAAGAATGGATACTGCAACACCGGCGACGACTTCTGTGGCTTTGGATGCCAGAAATCTTTTTCACTAGGGACGTGTTCAACCTGCCCTGGCTCAGCATGCGCAGGTACGGTGACCAGCAACCCAACTTGCTCCGCAAACAACGGCTACTGCTGGACATTGAGTTCGAAGAAGTTCCAGATCATTTGCGGAAGGCTTGCCTCCGGAGACTATCTTGGCTACGTCGATGCCACAAGCTTGGGTGATTGCATTTCGAAGTGTGCTGCAAACTCAGCGTGTGTCGCTGCTTCATTCTATCAGGGCAGTAGCACAAGCTGTAGTTTACTGAGCAGTTATCAAGGGTCTGCTTATGGCAACTCGGCAGGTGGTCAGCAAAACCATGCTTACGTCCGCGGTTCCAGCTGCGGGTGAAGGTGTGTTGCGAACGTGCCAGGCGGCTTAACTACGGGTTACGATCACGGCAACGAAGGTTATTCCTGTGGCATACGGATTTTCCATTAGAAAACACCATAAGCCTATACACTTGATTCGATAACACCCCGTAACTGACTACTCAACTACGACGAAGGATGAATATCAGAGACGGGCCTTATCCGGCTAGCTGCAAAAATTGACTTTCAAGAGGCCATGTGTACTATTCAGGAACATGCAGCCTACGCGACCTTCGGATCCATGGCAGAAATTCGGCTAGATTGTCGCCGCCCCAACAAGAAGCTAATTTCCATGCTATTCTGTCTCGCAAGTCTGTGGCTTCAAGTTCTGCGCCACAATCAAGCAATTGCTTCACAGCTGGGAGCGCAGGTCCGATGTGGTTATCACTAACAGGGGCCAATAGAGGTGTACGTCCCGCTTTCCCGCGGGCATCTACTTTAGCAACCAACCTGACTAGAGTCTTGATGACGTGAGGGATAACCTCGGAACGACACCCTTTGATTACATGTTCCAAGGCAGTTCCTCCTGTACCTTGTAAACCACACTTGGCGCCATGTTGAACAAGAACCTCAAGAACTTTTCTTTGACCAGCTCTGCCCGCTAACATCAATGGTGTCTGTCTTTGTGTGCCACCGAGTTGGTGTTCGGATCCTGTTGGAGAAGTACCTCAACGACGTCCAAGTAGTCCGACTCGGCAGCAAAATGAAGCGCCGCCATACCATCGCGATCTTTTGGTTCCACATCAGCGCCTTTATCAAGAAGCTTTCGTACGCAGTCGAGATTTCCTGATTTAGAGGCCCAGTGAAGGGGTGTCCTCTGCATCTCGTCTTTTGACTCCATTGCGGCATCATGAATCAGGAGTATTTCGACGCAGCCCCCGTGGCCCTACTCTACAGCCCAATGAAGAGGTGCCTTCTTTCCTTCATCTTCCATTACAAAATCTGCACCACTGCGAATTAGAGCTTCGAAAAATTTCCTATCAAGTATCTAGGCGCTGGTCGCGGCTATTATTTGACACCATGGCCGAGATAGTTGGCTATTAGGTATGGATACGAGTCGTCTAGCTGTATAGGTTTTACGTATCACCTCGGTGGCGGGCTTAATCTATGATTCGAATAAAGCGACGTATCTACCACATAATATCCTCGGATAAGTTATACGGGTATATTTCTAGTTAGCGTTCCACTTTGGCTAATTTTAGAGAGAATGGAGCAGACGAGGTATTATACGACTAGGATGATGGAAGACCTGGAGTTTCATTACATATCAAGTATACGAAGGAACGTAGAAAGCGCTGGATAGGAGAATTCCAGTAAGGAAAGCGTCCTCGCATGATGAATAGTGCAAATACTTCACAATAAGGGAAGTAGCTGTGCCATGACAGGGTCATTGATAAGCTTGCATGTGCTGACAAGAGTGCTCAAGAACAGTGATCCGTAGGGAAGACCAAGAGCACAGAAGTCCGATTCAACAGCATATAGTGGGGAAACAAGACTGACTGCTACATGGCTGACTGTAAAGCCGTTACTTCCACGAATTTGGCTTTTCCCCAAGATGAAATACCCCTCACATGCTGCCCACTGTAGTTGCGCGACTTGCGGCAGCAGATTAAATCAGCGATGCTCCGACTCCTGTTGCTTGACCAAAGCCTGTGTGGCCGTCTGAATCTTGTGGAACTGCCACGGTTTGATCTTTCTTTCAAAGAGCTCGTCCAGCTCGGCTGCGGATCGTCTGCAAAAGAGCTTGTATTAGCAAGTGGCTCTGCTGGCAAAATGTGTAGGATGGACTGTCTACCCGGCGGTATCGGGGATAAGGAACCAGATGCCAATCACGAAAGGCAGCCCAACGCCAGCATAGAACCAGCCTGTTTTGAGACCCCAGTTCCACTTATTGGCGTTGACCACTAGATCATATTGTCAGCACTTCTTCTATCGAGTACCCCTTCGTCTCGGAGTTAATCAACGTACTATAAGGCACTAGAACGTTCATGACGATACCAATGACACAGGTACACGCGGCACCGAAGCCGGCTGTGTGGGGGCGTAGCCGCTGCGACGAGATCTCGCCGATGAATCCCCAACCGGCCGCCCCGCTAGCCGTCATGCCAATATCTTCAAAAACAATCTTGTTAGCAGGCACGTGTACAATGATCATAAAGTCCGCCCATTTTTGATGAATTGTACGACGAAAACTTACTCCAAAAGCAGGCGAACAGCACGAATACATATGTCGACGCCCTGACCTGCTTCATCACGCCGATGATGCCGATGACTGCGCAAGAGACCCAACACAGCGTGATGCCTCCGCACGCGATCCACCGTCTACCAAGCCAATCAGCCGTGAAAATAGTCACGATAATTGTGGCAATGTTGATCGACGATGTGATGACCTTGATAAGGAACGGGTCCTGTAGCCCCGCCTGCTGAAAGAAATATGTCCCAAAGGTCGCAAACAGTGTGAGGCCGATAAACTGTTGCGACAGGTTTGTCCAGAGGGAGATCAGCGTCCGCAGTCCGTCGGTGCCCCGGAATATCGCCGTCCACTTCTCGCGTTTCTGCTCCATCGCTACGGAACGCTCGTGCTCCACCGTCATCAGCAACGTTGCGTACTGTCGGTCGAGGTCGAAATCGGGAACGCCGTGATATAACCAGGCGAGACACTTCTTTGCGCGCGACTCATCGCCACGATTGACGCACCAAGCTGGGGATTCGGGCAGAAAGACGTATATGAGGATCATGAGGCCAATTTGCGCCCATTGCGTGTATATAGGGTTCAAGTAGTTGTATGGCTCGTTCTTGTTCAGGTTCTGTAGCGCGACGTGGGCGCAGAAGGTGCCAACGGTCCACCAGAAGGAGTAGCACATGAGCAGGCCGCCGCGGATCCGAACAGGTGCGACCTCGGCGATGTAGACGGGGAGGGTTGACTGTAGGCAGCCGACGCCGACGCCGGCAAGGAGCTTTGCCACGAGCCAGGCGGGCCAAGCGCGCGCGACGCTCTCAACGGCGACGCTGACGGCGAGGACAAGCCAGAGGGTATACATGGCAACCTTCCGGCCGAATCGAGAGGAGAGAAAGGGGATGGTGGTCATGCCAAGGACCTGGCCGACGGACATGATGGAGGACCAGCCCGAGAGGATGGGGGAGTCAAGGTAAGGTTTTCCAGAGGCGTCGGCAAGGGTCGCGAATTGGTGGACAAAGCCCTTATTTGCTACGATGCTGGCGTTCATGCTGGATGTGGGTGGAGTGACGGGGTTAGCAATGTAAACTAGAGATTGGGGCACAATGGATGCGCGAGGAGGAGCAAAGTGTGAAGCGTACCCTATTTGATAGCCATCAGTGGCGGCGCTGAAGGCCGCCGCGAAGCACGCAGCTGAGGCGATCTTGAAGAGCTTGACCGTCTCCCATATGGATAGAGACTCGTATCCCGAAATGTTTTGGCCGCGGGTTGCCGCGTCGACAGCTGCGTCGCTGAATTTCAGGCCATCATCCGCCGGGTCTTCAACGTAGGCCACGTTGTCGACCGGCTTCTTGGGAGTTCCACGTGGAGATGCCATTACTGCACAGGATAAAGGGCAAAACCAGAAAAGAGTATGGCTACTAACTTCTTGGTATGATGATTGCTATTCTATTTCGGAATCTGGCTTGGTTTTTATCTTGACACATCGGCACGTGTTGTCACGAAACGAGTCGATTTTCATCGAGACGGTGGTGGTCTAGACCTATCGGAACAGTCTGCAAACAACGTCTTGTGTCCAGCTCACCAAAGACCTTCGTATACAATAGTGTGATGGACTTGCCCAAAGAATGGACACTTCTGTCCGCTGCCATGGACATTTGCTCGCATTCGTATTGTGGGTCCGCTGCTCGTTGTCTATTTTCCCAAGCCTTCTCATGACGAACGATCCGGGGTATGGGACCCCGCGAGGACCCCACGGGGATAATCTAGGTTACTTTGGGGGGGGGGGGGAGAACTTACCCAAGATGGGCGTTCCGAGGCTTCGGACTATAAACAAGTACGGAGGATACCGAAGCTATCGCTAATTAGTACCTGGGACAAGCACGCATAATCCTTTATGAATTGGGACGTTGACACGATTGATGTCAAGCTTGGAGACTGTTCGTATCTTCCGTATGCCGTACACAGGGCTTTCCCATTGGGCTGTCGTCAGTTACGCTTTACCATGCAGTAACGACCTCCGATGCAATGCGACGTGGTAGTTGGGGCTAGTAAACGTCCATATCTCTCATTGGATGAGAGTACGAAAAAATGTACGAAAATTCTCCAAAAGATGGACCGGAATTGGGTGACTGTTGGGTGCTTTGAGGAAAGACTACCCGAGTCACCGGGAATGGCATCATGGTCATTGATGAGGGTGCGAGGACTAGGACACTGGATGACATAAAGTAGGTCGAACTGAAGTTGTCGAGTTTACGAGAGGGGGATGGCGAAGACATTTCCCCTTGAAATTTTGAGAGTGTGTTGATCGTGTCTACATGTACCCTCAAGTACTCGCATATCAGGTAAGGAGAAGGAAGATCAGATTTCTGAAAGGTGCAATTGATTTGATTAATCAGAACAATGGTGTCATTTGAAAGTCGACTTGCAAGAGAAGACGTAATCTACTTGATAAACCCGCCATCCCAAAGTACATGTCACCCCTTGCACAACATACTCCATGATCAAGTACCGTTAGCAGGCTGCTTATACTCAACACCGTCGATGGTGGTGACCAAAGTCCCACTCGCGTTGAATAAGTTCAGCTCCGCGTCAATAATCAAGTGAAAACCCCCCTCGCTAGTCTTCTTAGTCCCATTGACCACCCCAGTCTGAACAATATCAGAAACCCAGTCAACCTGATTCGTCCAGAAGTTGGGGAGAAGAATCTTCACCGTGACGTCCTCAAAGCCATTCAGGATGTGCTCCCCATCATCCGAGTAGTTGGTGTAGTTCACTGCAACGCTGCCCAGCCCGCTCACATTAGTAGAGTCCGGGGCAATGCTTACACCAGCAATACCAGAAACCTTCCCACGGAGTGTATAGTTGCCTGGCTCGACCGTGAACGGCGACTCCGGGATAGCTGTGCCCGGAGGAAATGGCGTGGCCCAAGGGATCACGTCCGGAATCTTGTAAATTGGCGCCGGCGCGGTAGCCTCGCGACCAATCCGTTGAGCCAACATCACGCGATACTCCCTGCCTCCTTGGGCTGTAGACTCGGGGCAAGGAAGGGGATTCGCACCACCACATGAAGGGGAGACCACGAGAGCCTGCCAGTACGTAATCTTTGTTCCGTCCAAGGAGAAGGCCGGGTCCGCTCTGCCATTCCAGTTCGGGTCGTTGATGGCACCGCCGCTCTCGACCCCCGCAGCATTGATCCGCTGACCATAATAGTCGCCGCGATCGCCGTAGCGATCGATTAAGATTGGCTGGAAGAAGCGACGGGGGCCGTTGTTGCGAGTGGAGGCGGCCACAGTCACAGCAACGAGGTCGATCAGGGGCGGGATCCCACGCATGCCAGACATCCACATCTGGCGGTTCGTACCTCGCGTGTCCATGGCAACGAACCAGTCGTTATCGGCAGAGAAGGCCATGGGATCCACGTATTCTGGGTGGCTAGTGAGGCGGCGGACGGCGCCCGTCTGTACATGTACGGCGAAGACGTCGATGTTAGTTGACTCAACGGGGTTACCAATATAGGTGATCTCTTCGCCGTTTCCGCTGAAACCACGCAGCTCGCCAACGGCGATAGCATTGTTGTGGATGATGAGTTCGGAGCCATTGGTTGTGATGGGGTTCGCGCGCGTAGGGTCGAAGAGCAAATTCACGTCGACGAGATCATAGCGAGGGGCGAGTGGTTCGCCCACAGTTGGCTCAGCGTTGAAATTGAGGCGGCCAGTGTAAGCGAATTGACCGCCTGTACTGGTGAAAGAGCTCCATCCCATATGAACGTCGTCTGGGTGCAGGCGCATTTCGCGAGGACTGCCGCCCTTCCCCGAGCCATCGGCTGCAGTGTTCCAGTGGATCGGGTAGATGTATGTCTTGTTCGGGGTGCATGCATCGCTTTCCAGAGGCGCCCCGCCGCAGTCCAGAATGTTGTGACCCCAAAGCGCCTTGTTGCCGCTGCGGAAGACGTGGGGGTAGTCCTTCTGGGGGTCAAGAGAGATGGCGTTGACGGCGGGAACACCGCAGCTCAGACACTTCCATGGATCGCCGTTGGTGAAGTTGGTGCCATCTGCCTTGATGAGAAGAACATGCTCCCCATCGTAGATGCTTGCAGGGTTGGGAGCTGTAGGGGCGCCGGTGAAGACCACGTTGACGATAACATTTTTGCCATCCGGTGTGAAGTCTCCCGCCTGAAAGTCGCCTACGGCTTTGGCGATGCATCCTGTCCCACGAGGGTTGATCAAAGTTGTACAAGAACCTTCATCGGAAGATGGAGCTACGGGGGGAAGAGGTAGCTCAACAATATGGAATACTTCCGGTTGTGGGGGTGAAGGTACGGTATCCGCCGTTGCGAGGCTGGCTGTGAGAGCAACCGCGAGGATAGAAGATAACATGGCTGAGACAGTTGTGTGAAATCGAGAAATTCGCTTCTCGACAATGTTGTGACACATCTATATAGCCGTGCTCTCAATTTCACATATTTCAGCGACCAGCAGTCGTCTTTATGATCATGGAAAACTCTCGGACCTGAATCTGGCGTGAAGATCCCGATACGAACCTTTCGGGCTATTCTGGAGACAGCGTCGCTCATGAAAATTGGGGCCCATGAATACGGAATACGGCTCAGCATGCGAGGATGCTAACTCGACTTGTGGACTCATGAACAACAAGCTAGATGCCAATAGCACCCCCTCTTTGAAATTTGTTTCCGTCTGAGTCTATCCCGATACTACCTTCCTCAAGTGGATGCCATGTGGTCAAAAGTCTCCTACGGTCGTGGGAATGGAAATCTTCCCCGACTACCCATTCTCCTGAAGGCATAGGAAGGTGTCTTCCAATAAACCGTAATAGAGATGTCTGCATGTTGCAATCACGAGAGAAAGTGTTTGCCAGACTGCAAGATCTGGGCGAGTTTCATACGTACTTTGGAGCTCCAGGATACCTCTAAGAGTCATCATTGAACTCAAGCGGCTCTCCGATTCTTTTTTTTGTACAACGACATCTCGTTGTTCCACCAATGATTCATCTAAAAACTGGTCTAAGTTTAGTTTCGGTCTCATGGTCAATCGCACTACTCCTGTGTCATTTGCATTGTTCTTAGCAACATAAAAGAAGAGCAGAGCTAGTGGGGTGACCCTCTTCGTCGCCGGAATGTATCTCTCAAATACAGGGCAGATCCTTTGGGCGTCCTCTTCTGCGTCTCAAAATCTACATGAAAAATTCCAAACCGTGGACCATACCCAGCGGACCATTCTATTTGGGCTGTGTTAGATCCATTCGGGTCGACTTGCGAATACTGATCTTCGAGGGGGTTAACTTACCAAAATTATCCATAAGGCTCCAAGCATAATAACCCTCTACTCTGACCCCGTCTTCATAAATGGAGCGAGATATAGCGTCAAGGTAGAGGCCAAAGTATCTCTGACGGAAGTTATCCTTTCGCGCAACATCAACATCGATTTCACCGGGGCAGGGACACCCATTTTCCGTGACTATGATGGGAAGCTGATACCGATTCCACACCCAGTTCAATAACTTCCGGAATCCTTCTGGCGCAAGTCGTAGCCACTGGACGCCCGAAATGGGTCCAATCTCCACTCCTTGCTTATTAACTGACGTCTCTTCGATATTGCCAGTCCAGTCATCGTCTGCTGGGGGGTCTGGCAGAGCACGCGCGTACTTGGTAGAGTAATGGTTCATACCATAAAATGCGTTGATTGGGGCAGTCTTCCGAAGAAGAGCACGTTCTTCCGCCGTAAACTCAGGGAGGCGCGAGCCGAGGTATGCTCTCATTGAGGATGGGTAGTCTGTTCCCAGAAACACTGGGTCTCCGAACCAGCCAATGTAAAACTCCATTCTGCGTTGAGCGGCTTCTACGTCGGTCTGATTGCCTTCCTCAAAAGGTTCGTAAAAATGTCCGTTGAGAACAATCGATATTTCTCCTTTCTGAGATGGTTGAAACTCTTCCGCATAAACTTGTACCACGGAAGCATGAGACAAAATGATTGTATGACCGACGCGCCAAGGTTCTGTCTTGGTGTTGGCACCACTGGCAGCACAGCGGCCTGGCGCCAGTACGCCACTGTGATGCGCGAAGATCGAGATGATATAGGGCTCATTGAAGGTCACCCATTTCTTGACTCGATCGCCAAACCGAGAGAAGCAGATCCGGGCGTAGTTCTGGAAATCAGCTCTATACTCAGCTGTGTCGAGTAATCCTTTGTACCTTTCGTAGAGCTCTTGTGGGAGATCCCAATGGTAAAGAGTCACCACAGGCTCGATGTTGTTTGCCAAGAGTCGGTTGATGAGATCGTCATAGAAAGCGACACCTTTTTCGTTGATAGGGTCATTGCGTCCCCCGAGAGGAATTATGCGTGTCCAGGCCAGAGAAAATCGGTAGACGTCAACGCCGAGGGAGGACATGAGTTCTACATCTTCGGCTACCCTGTTGTAGTGGTCGCATGCTACATCGGCATTCTCGCCATTTGTTCTTGACGGCTCGAGATGGGTGTACACATCCCAAATCGACTTCCCTTTTCCATCTTGGGAAATGCCACCCTCAATCTGGACGGCGGCAGTGGCGGTGCCCCAGACAAAATCTGACGGAAGTCGGAGATCCTCAAGTGGGAGATCATGGCCGGTTGACTGACTGTATGCTACCAGGTCTCCAGCCTGGAACATGGCCGCTTCTTTGGACATGATTGGAAAACAAGCCTGGTTGAGATCGGAATGATGATGACAATGCCAGCCGGGCTAGGTGCAAGCGTCAAGCAGTCTTCGATCAGACTAATGGGACAATTTAAGTACCAGAATACTGCAGCAAATACTCGTATCAACATTCACCGAGCCTGTTCTGATGATACAGCGATCCTCCTGTTCTTGGTCAGCTCGCTGCGGGGAGGGGCTCACAACTCAGCATGGATGGTTAACGAGGACCAGTCAAGACAGGCACCTTGGGCTCAACTGACACGTCAAAAACCAAGCTTCCTGCTTGAAAGTACCCTCGTAACTTGGCATCAATACGATATACGTACGAATACGGGTGGAGACTGTTGGACTTAGGTCACTAGAAGATCTGCGCCTGGTTTTCCGCCGCTGTGCTCCAGGCGAAAATTACCAGAACAAGACAATAAAGATGGTTCCCAGCTGAGGTCGCTGTATGTTGCGCCGACACAGCAATCTTTCGGGGCTTAACAGGAACCCGAGAAGATGCTGCCTACGGCTGTAAGAATTTTAGGTCGGAATTACTACAGATGCTGAGTGATAAGCCATATCGATGGGCAAGCTCAAGACCTTTGCGGATTATTGAGACCCATTCTCGCTGGCCACATCAAGACCGACTTCTGAAAAGACGCCATCGCAGTTCATCATTCACAACAGCGAGTTTTACATCATGGCTACGGTTACCTCTGTTCAGTTCGAGCACTATCATGCCTCTGGCTGTATTGGAGTTCATGAGACCACACCAAGACTCTCTTGGAAAATCGAGGGAGTCTCCACAGATTTTCGTCAGATTTCCTATGAGATTGAGCTCTCTGAGACGATTCTTACTATCTCAAAGGTCGTATCGACCCTGAAATGTGTATCATCTGCATCAAGTTTGGTGCCGTGGCCTTTTCGAAAGCCACTTTCTTCACGTCAGCGGATTTCGGTGAGAATCAGAATCTGGGACCAGGACGAGAAGGCGACTGATTGGAGCAAACCATCGCACCTTGAGGTCGGTCTTCTTGCTCGTACAGATTGGAGTAGTGAGCGCATTGCTGCACCCTGGGGCCCCGGTACAGTCGCTCCCGACCCAGAGCAGCTCTTTCGCAAGCAATTCTCAGTCAATTTCCCCGCCTTTCAGGCTAGATTGTACGTCACAGCACAGGGCGTTTACGAGGCAGAGATTAACGGTCAGCGAGTTGGCGACTATTTCCTCGCTCCAGGATGGACATCTTATGAAGGAAGACTTCAGTATCAGACGTATGATGTCACTTCGTTGCTTTCTAGCAATCAGCCTGAGAACTGCATTGGAGTCCGTGTTGCAGAAGGGTGGTTTTCTGGGCGTATAGGATTTGAGGGCGGTCATCGAAATATCTGGGGTCCTCACACAGCACTTATTGCTCAGCTGGAAATCATATCTGGCGATGGGATTATCCAGAGAATCTCGACAGACGGATCCTGGCAGGTCGCTCGTGGTCCCATCATACTTGCTGAGATCTACGACGGAGAGAAGTATGACGCCACCCTTGACTTGCCAAATTGGTCGAAATGGGTGGCCGCTAGCATGTCGGACGGACTTCGCTTTGAGAAAGTGATAACTCTGGAATTCTTGCCGATTTCGACCACTTTGGTCGCTGGATACGGCGAGCCGGTGCGGAAAACTCAAGCCGTCGGGCCTGTCAACCAAATAACGACTCCCTCCGGCAAGACGATCATCGACTTTGGTCAAAACCTCGTCGGCTGTCTCAAGTTTCGTAACATCAAAGGACCCAGAAATCACAAAATTACCTTCTCACACGCCGAGGTGCTAGAGAACGATGAGCTCGGAACGCGCCCTCTGCGTATCTGTAAAGCTGTAGATGAGTACATCTTGAGCGGTGCCCCGGAGGGAGAAGGGTATGAACCTCGATTTACATTTCACGGCTTCAGATATGCACAGATCGATGGGTGGACTAGTGATCATGACTTGATATCATCAGTCGAAGCCATAGTCTACCATACAGATATGAAGGCTGCTGGGTCATTCTTCTGCTCCGACCCCCTCCTGAATAAGCTATACCAAAACATTGTTTGGGGCATGCGCGGAAACTTTCTGTCTGTACCGACAGACTGCCCTCAACGAGATGAAAGGCTTGGTTGGTCGGGTGACCTAGCGCTTTTCGCACCGACGGCAACTTTGTTATTTGATTGCTATGGAATGCTGAAGAACTGGCTCATTGATGTAGCATACGACCAAGAGGTTCTGGGTGGTGTGCCGCCGATGGTCAGTCCGAATGCCACACTTCCAGATCCGATATGGTGTAGAAGAGTGCCTTGCGCTATCTGGCACGATGTTACTATTCTAGCTCCTTGGGCGCTCTATCAAGAGACTGGAGACGACAGCATTCTATCTCAACAGTATGGCAGCATGCTGACTTGGATGGTCAAGTTGCCGCGCAACCAATCTGGTGCAAAGCACTTGTGGGACAACTCAATCTTTCAGCTCGGCGTGCGTGGCTCTCCTAATTTAAGTTTTGCGGTCATACTGATGTTCGACAGGATTGGCTCGATCCTACCGCCCCCCCAGACGCGCCGTGGAAATCCCCGACAGACGCGAAGATGGTCGCCAACATGTTTCTCATCCAGAGTCTGCGGCTGATGGCTCGTATATCTGGCATCCTTGGTGAAGAGACCAGGAAGGTCGACTTTGAATCAGAGTTCAGGGCAGCCAAAGCACAGTTCCATCAAGAATACGTGACTCAAAATGGGCGGATTGTGTCAGACACCCAGGCAGCATACGCTTTAGCCATCTGCTTGAATGTGCTGGACGAGTCGCAGAAAGTTCGGGCCGGCCAACGTCTAGCGGAGCTCGTGAAGAAGAATGACTTCAAGATTGCAACAGGATTTGCTGGAACACCATACCTCTGCGAGGCACTGTTCATCACAGGGCATGTTCAAGTAGCCTACCGCATGCTTTTGGAAAAAGAATGCCCGTCTTGGCTGTATCCCATCACTATGGGGGCTACAACGGTCTGGGAAAGGTGGGATTCTATGCTCCCCGACGGAAGCATCAATCCAGGCGAGATGACCTCTTTCAATCACTATGCCTTCGGTGCTATTGCAAAGTTCCTGTTTGAAAGAATAGCAGGTCTTCAGAGACTTGAGCCAGGGTGGACGAGATGCCGCATTGCTCCAGCTATTGGAGCTGAGTTCTCCCACGCCTCGGCGTCTCATATGAGTCGTCATGGGCTCATCGAGTGCTCTTGGGAGACGAAAGTGGTCAATGGAGGCAAAGAGATGTTGCATGTTAGACTGAGTATACCTCATGGTGTCACCGCCGAGGTTGTGCTACTGAGCGAAGAGGGAGAGAAACTGGAGGTGGTAGGTGTGGGGGAATGGAATTTTAAGACGATTTTTGTCCGGGATTATGACTGGCCTGTATTACCCCTGAAGAGCAAGTCATGATAATAGATCCTAATAGACGGCAAAGTACCGACTTACTTAAACTTACTGCGACTAACTCGTCGTAGTAGATTAGTAATGCAACGGAAAATGGTGATTAAAATTATCAAGGGCATTACAAGTCCGGTTTCTGTTGGTGTAAAGATATCACTGTGTTACGACAATACTTCGTCAATATGTCCGCCGAAAAATAATCAATACGGGTGGGACCTCGGATTGTGAGCGTGCCAAGGTGATGCTATTCAGTTCATCCGACTTGTTGCTTCTTCGCTCCCGCGAAACATACTTTGCAGCCTGAATAAAGTCTCATCAAACTGCAATGTATGGAACCTTGGTCAAACTCATCACTGTGCCTCATGCAAGTGAGAGAACGAATGATCCGGGGCTGAAGCTAGTTTACGTGTACGTACTTCTCACTTTCAGCCACAAGAAGAAAGCGAAATTAGTACTTTAGTTGAGCTTCTTTTTTAATCACATCAAATTTACTCGAAAGATCGAACGCAGTAGAAGTCACTGTCAGGACAACCGGTTTGCCTATCATTTGATTGGCAACGCCCTCAGAGGCGTGTGATCATGTCTAGTATCCATGTAGAGAATCAACCGAGAGTTACCTTTGGAAAGATATGCTTCATGTAAGAAATGTGTTATATTCACGACTGATATACTCGCTTGCAGTGTTCAATACGTGCTACGAGATAGCAAAACTGTGGTTCAAAACAGTCATCAGATGAGGACAAGTTTCGAGAAACCCTTTAGTAGGCAAATAAGAAAACTAATCTTTATAATGCTAGCCCATGATCAATTACAACCACATAATTATCCGTGTCCGAAGCGACTCCCGATTATATCCATTGAGATGATATCCCCCTTCTACACAGAGGAGGTATGATCTTCCGGCCCCGAAGACGCCACAAGACAGGAACCAAACAAGATATTGTTGCCAGGTGACGAAGTGGAAGATGAGTATAAAATGTAGACCAATATGAAATTATCAAGAAAAAAGACAAAAGAAAGCTTAGAAATTGAATGGTTGAGCGTCTGCGACGGTGGGACAGCTGAACACGAGCTGGTTGTTCGTGACGGCCTGGGTGTTGGAGACGACGACGCCACCGGAGGGGTTCGTGAGCGAGAAATTGAACAGACCACACTGCTGAGCGTTGACGAAGAGGAGACGGATGGGGTAGTACTGCCCCGCGGTTGCCGCGAACGTGTACGTGCCGGAGCTGCTCGTGTCATAGTAATCGACGTTCTTCTGCGCGTTCGCGTTGGTGAAGCCCGTCTTTGCGGCACTTCCCTGGCCGAGCCAGAGATAGACGCCGTCATCAACGCCGCTGAAGCTGAAAGTGTAGGTGCCGGTGGTGAGAGGGTGGAAGTAGCCGATGTGCTGGACGATCATGAAGTTGGACTGGCCGCTTGTCGTTGTACCGTATACCGTGCGGGTGGTGGTGTCGCACTGCTGAGCGAGGCCGATGGTCGTGGTGTAGCCCGTGTTGCTCGGGGTCTGGCCATTGAGGACAGTTGGGATGTTGAAGTAGGTGGTCTTCCAGTTCGCCTTGGAGGTGTCGTCGGTGTTGTGGTAGGGGATGCGACCGGCTGTGCTGACGGTGTCGGAGGCGGCGCGGGAGAAGCCGTAGTAGGCCCATCGGAGTCCCGGGGTGCAGCTGGGCGTCGTGATAGTGACGACGGTGGTTGTGCCGGCCGGGTTGGTCTGGGGGAGGGTGGTCACGCCGGTCGTGGTACCCGTTGAAACGATAGTCGTTATGGCGCCGGTGATGGGCGTCGTGAAAGTGACTACGGTAGTTGTGCCGGCCGGGTCGGTTTGGGGCAAGGTCGTCACGCCAGTCTGGGTTCCGGTTGAGATTACGGTCGTCACGGCGCCCGTCGGAGGTACGAACGAGACCACGGTGGTCGTGCCAGCAGGGTCGGTTTGGGGCAGAGTAGTTACGCCAGTCTGGGTTCCGGTTGAGACCACGGTAGTTACGACACCAGTGACCGGAGGTATGAATGACACTACGGTGGTCGTGCCAGCCGGGTCAGTTTGGGGTAGTGTAGTCACGCCGGTCTGGGTACCTGTCGAGACCACGGTAGTTACGAGGCCAGTGACTGGGGGTACGAACGAGACCACGGTAGTCGTGCCAGTCGGGTCAGTTTGGGGCAGAGTAGTTACGCCAGTCTGGGTTCCGGTTGAGACCACGGTGGTCACGGCACCCGTGGCCGGAGGCACAAAGCTGACGACGGTGGTCGTGCCGCCGGGATTCGTTTGGGGCAATGTGGTCACGCCGGTCTGCGTCGCCGTCGACACGATCGTAGTGACGAAGCCCGTGGCGGCTGAAGTTGTTGACGAGCTGGAGGGCTGGGCTGCGGTGCACGATTCAGGATAGGCAAGCCCCGAGATGTCAGACGAGTTCGTCGCATGGCCCGGTCCGTTGAAGAAGAAGTTTAGAGACGAGGGAGTACCCCAGTTACCAAACACCTGTCGAACCGGGTAGAAGGCCCCCGCGACGAGGTTGACGCTGGCGCAGCCGGTGTTTCCGTCGGCAGCGAACCAACTCTTTGCCAGGGGAGTAGCTCCCCTGGGGGTATCCGCGTTCGCGGGCCTGCCGCAAGCGAAGGCAGCGTCTCCAAGGTAAAAAGCGTCGCGGTTGTCGGCGTACCCGTAGCAAAAGTTGTACGTTCCGCTCTGATCAGGCCGGAAGTATCCGGTGAAGACGAGGGTGAAGTTGTTGGCGTTGTACGTGATGCCGCCGTACGTCTGCGTCAGACCCTCGTAGTACCGGAAGCCCGTCGAAGAGCCTGATGTCTGGGGAGTGTAGGGCGTGACGGTCGTGCCGCTCGCATCCTTGTAGGGAACGGAAATTGAGTTCGTGCTGCCTTGAGCCAGGGCATTCTGAGTGAGGTAGTAATCGGGCCCGACTCCAGATCGGCCGTCTGAGACTCCATAGCCATCGGCAACTTGGACCGAGTTTGCGTAGAGCTTGAGAGTGAGGCCGGATGCGGCACAATCCACGGGCGGAGTGGCACAAGCGCCGGGGGGGACGAAGGTGACAACGGTCGTTGTACCAGTGGGATTCGTTTGAGGTAGAGTTGTTACGCCCGTCCTCGTCCCGGTTGATACGATCGTCGTGATAGCACCCGTTGGGGGAGGGACAAAAGTGACAACGGTAGTAGTACCAGCGGGATCCGTTTGGGGCAGGGTCGTAACGCCCGTCTGGGTAGCCGTAGAGACAAGAGTCGTAATTGCGCCCGTAAGAGGAGGAACAAAAGTGATGACGGTCGTAGTACCGGAAGGATCTGTCTGGGGCAAAGTCGTAACGCCCGTCTGGGTAGCCGTAGAGACAAGAGTCGTAATTGCGCCCGTAACAGGAGGAACAAAAGTGATGACGGTCGTAGTGCCGGAAGGGTCTGTCTGGGGCAAAGTCGTTACTCCCGTCTGGCTCGCCGTTGACACAAGAGTCGTGATCGCGCCTGTTATACGGGGAACGAAAGTAATCACCGTCGTTGTACCAGAGGGATCTGTCTGGGGCAAGGTCGTGACGCCTGTCTGCGTGCCCGTTGACACAAGAGTCGTGATCGCGCCTGTCACGGGGGGAACGAAGGTAATCACAGTTGTTGTTCCAGAGGGATTCGTCTGAGGTAAAGTTGTGATACCCGTCTGCGTGCCTGTCGATACGAGAGTTGTGACCGCACCTGTTACGGGGGGAACGAAGGTAATCACAGTTGTTGTGCCCGATGGATTCGTCTGAGGTAAAGTTGTGATACCCGTCTGCGTGCCTGTCGATACGAGAGTTGTGACCGCACCTGTTACGGGGGGAACGAAGGTAATCACAGTTGTTGTTCCAGAGGGATCCGTCTGAGGTAAAGTTGTGACGCCTGTCCGAGTACCCGTCGATACGAGGGTTGTGATGGCTCCCGTCACAGGGACAAAAGTGATGACGGTTGTTGTGCCAGTGGGGTCCGTCTGGGGCAAAGTGGTGACGCCCGTCTGGGTTGCTGTTGACACGAGTGTCGTGACGAATCCGGTCGCTGGCGGGACGAATGTGATGACACTAGTAGTGCCGGCCGGATCCGTGGGAATAATGGTTGTGGCTCCAGTTCGGGTACCAGTCGAAGTGACAGTAGTCAGAGCACCAGTAGGCACCGTGACGAAGGTGATGACGGTAGTCGTGCCGAAGGGATCGGAGTTTGATAAAGTCGTGACGCCGGTCTGGCTGGCGGTCTGAGTAAAAGTCCGAATGATACCGATGCGAGGTACGATGGTGATCACGGTAGGAGGACCACCGCTTGGGCCGGGGGGGATCGTGACCAGACCGGTGGTTGTGCCAGTGGATGTGAGGGTGACTGGAGGGGTAGTGGTCACGAGCGTCACCACAGTGGGAGGTCCGCCTGCGGTTCCAGGAGGGATTGTAGTCAGGCCAGTGTTGGTGCCGGTTGATGTGATTGTGACTGGGGGGGTGGTGGTCACGAAAGTGACCACAGTAGGAGGTCCTCCATTAGGTCCCGGGGGCAAAGTTGTGAGGCCAGTTGTAGTAGCGGTGGAGGTCAAAGTAACTGGGGGAGGGCTCGTCACGAAGGTGATCACGGTGGTGGGACCCCCATTGGGACCGGGCGGAACGGTTGTCAAGCCGGTAGTGCTGGCGGTTTGAGTCACGGTAACGGGAGGAGTGCCAGTAACGAAAGTAACCACGGTAGTCGGTCCTCCGTTGGAGCCGGGAGGCAACGTGGTGAGACCAGTAGTGCTGGCAGTCTGGGTCACAGTGACAGGTGGAGTGCTAGTGACGAAGGTCACTACAGTAGTCGGTCCGCCATTGGGCCCCGGAGGCAAAGTAGTGAGGCCGGTCGTGCTGGCAGTCTGAGTGACGGTAACTGGGGGAGTGCCGGTGACGAAGGTCACTACAGTAGTCGGTCCGCCATTGGGCCCCGGAGGTAAAGTAGTGAGGCCGGTCGTGCTGGCTGTCTGAGTGACGGTAACTGGAGGAGTGCCGGTGACGAAGGTAATAACGGTGTTAGGGCCGCCGGCTCCTCCAGGCACAGTTGTAAGGCCGGTAGTTGTGGCGGTCTGAGTGAGAGTTACCGGGGGCGGGGTCGTTACGAAGGTGATAACCGTGTTGGGACCACCGGGACCGCCAGGAACGGTAGTCAAACCAGTAGTGCTTGCAGTCTGAGTGAGAGTTACCGGGGGCGGGGTCGTTACGAAGGTGATGACTGTGTTGGGACCACCGGGACCGCCAGGAACGGTAGTCAAACCAGTAGTGCTTGCAGTCTGAGTGAGAGTCACTGGGGACGGGCCTGGGACGATAGTGATGACCGTCGGGGGGCCACCGTTAGGTCCAGGAGGCACAGTCGTGAGACCTGTGGTAGTACCAGTTGAAGTGACAGTCACTGGAGTCAGCGGCGGAAGGGTTACAAAAGTGATGACAGTAGGAACGCCGCCGTTCGGGCCAGGGGGAATGGTGGTGAGACCAGTTGTGCTGGCAGTTCGAGTAATAGTAATGGGGGGAGGGCCCGTTGCGAATGTAATGACTGTTGGTGGCCCTCCGTTGGGTCCAGGAGGTATTGTCGTGAGACCAGTGGTGGTCGCAGTCTGAGTGAGGGTGACCGGGGTCAATGGAGGAAGGGTTACGAAAGTAATGACTGTGGGGACACCGCCGTTGGGGCCAGGGGGAATCGTTGTCAGGCCGGTTGTGCTAGCAGTCTGGGTGAGAGTCACAGGAGGAGGCCCCGTTGCAAAAGTGATGACTGTGGGAGGTCCACCGTTGGGCCCTGGAGGAACGGTTGTGAGCCCAGTAGTAGTGCCAGTCTGAGTAATTGTGACCGGCACTGGCGGGGTGGTGGTTGCGAAGGTGACAATAGTAGGCGGGCCTCCGTTAGGACCCGGAGGTAAAGTGGTCAATCCGGTAGTGCTTCCGAAGGACGTTACCGTAACCGGCGGGGGACCGGTGACCAAGGTAACGATCGTAGTGAGGCCACCGTTCGGCCCGGGCGGGATTGTGATAAGGCCGGTAGTACTTCCGGTCGAAGTCACTGTGACGGGAGGAGTGACACCCGGAGGGCCGGTAGCAAAGGTAATGACTGTCGGCGGACCGCCGTTAGGGCCCGGGGGAAGAGTAGTCAAGCCGGTGGTTGATGCCGTCTGGGTGATGGTCACGGGGGTCTGAGGAGGAGGCGTGACGAATGTGACAATGGTGGGAGGTCCGCCGTTAGGTCCAACTGGGAGGGTAGTCAAGCCAGTTATCGACGCAGTGGATGTGAGGGTGACTGGTGGGGGACCGGTAATGAATGTAATGACGGTAGTAGGACCGCCATTTGGACCAGGCGGGACCGTGGTCAGGCCGGTCGTTGATCCTGTCGATGTGATCGTCACGGGAGGCAGAGGTCCCGTGGCAAAAGTGATGACCGTCGGCGGGCCGCCGTTCGGACCAGGAGGGACTGTTGTCAAGCCGGTCGTGGAGGCCGTCTGGGTGATAGTCACAGGGGTAAGGGGTGTGGTAGCAAAAGTGATGACAGTCGTCGGGCCGCCATTAGGACCGGGCGGAAGGGTGCTTAGGCCCGTAGTTGACGCAAAAGACGTGATCGTTACTGTGCCTGGAGGCCCAGTTGCAAAGGTAATGACAGTTGGGGGGCCACCGTTCGGGCCAGGAGGCAGAGTTGTTAAGCCGGTCGTGGAGGCATAAGAGGTGATCGTGACTGGACCAGCAGGGGGCGTCACGAAGGTTACTATAGTAGGCGAGCCTCCGTTCGGTCCGGGAGGAATAGTTGTCAACCCGGTGACTGAAGCGGTCGAAGTTACGGTCACTGGAACCAACGGGGTGGTGGCAAAAGTGATGACGGTAGGAGGACCTCCATTTGAACCAGGAACTGTGGTAAGGCCGGTAGTCTTTGCCGACGAGGTCACCGTGACAGGGCCTGTCGCAAAGGTGACCACGGTCGATGGGCCACCGTTTGGACCAGGCGGAACAGTAGTCAAGCCGGCGGTGCTGGCGAGGGAAGTGACCGTGGGCAGAGGTGGAACATAGGTGACGATAGTGGTCGGATCGCCGGGATTATTTGGGGGAATGGTTGTAGCTCCCGTCTGAGTGCCGGTTGAAGTGACGGTAATAAGACCAGGAGGATTAGAAGTGGTGTAAACTATCGTTGCCTTTGACGTGGTCCCACCCTGGACAACATCGGTGGTGGTCACCCACTCAGTGTAGGTCCTGCAAGATGTTAAGGAATGCTGTTCTCTTCGACCCAAGAGTCTGAGATAGATGACATACCTAGTCCTGGTCGAGAGGGAGATGCTCCCGGAACATTGAATCTCGAACGGTTGCTGTTCGATGACAACTTTGGCATCTGTTGGACATGGTGGGTTACTGGAGAGTGCGGCGGCGTTGGCAATCCCCGTCCAGTGGACGACGAGAGACAGTGGGATTTTCCACCTCATCTTGTCGTGTAACTGGCGAATCCGACTGTTGCGATACTTACCTTGAGCTTCTGATGATGCAGTAGAGGAAGCTTGATGTCGTTGATGCTCTGGCTGAGTAAAGGCTTCTACGAGAGAGATTACGGTCGTCTTTTAATCTAAAGTTGTTGCTCGTCGTTGTGTAGAACAAATTGAAGATGTTTCCATGCGATACGCCATCCTCGCAAAATTCCGCAAACGTTCAACATGACGATCGTTCTTTTGCCTTGCGAACAAACAAATCAGCCAACCCAGCTAGGCGTTGCCACCAGGAACAGCAGACATGCTGTGTTTCTCGGCCGGAGAAGGTCCTTCCCGGTCTTCCTAGACATCTCTTGGAAACTGAGGCCTTCAGTCGCTTCGATAGATGTTGTCTGTTTGCGTCATGGAACTATATGCTGTCTGGCATTAGTGATCAGCCTGTCCCAAGACTCTAGTTGGGTGTCACTCAGTCACACTGACGAAGCAAAAGTCCATGGTTGAGAGGCAAAGTTCGTATCCCTATGCAGGTTTGGTTGTTGGGTAGCCAATACTTCTTGCTCCAAAAGCACGTTAGTTCCCATAAGCGTGGTAACGTTATTATCTGGAACAAGACTGGAACAGACTGTGACTGCGATTGACTAGACTGTCATGGTACCTGGTGCAAAAGACAACGAGAGATATTGAGGGTGTACGGTTGAATAGTAGTGGAGTGTACAGTGTCCGGGATCTAATGACCCTAGTTCGCACGCTTGAAGGCTTGACTATAGAAAAACTTAGCGTTTCGCTAGCCTGTCAGCATTCTTCTTCGAAAGACTAGGTCAAAATAGGCAAACTCTTTGACGCCTCGGAAGCACCGGCGAGATGACTAAATGACCAAAACAAGTTGGTGTTGATGCTGCATGCCGATATGGCAACTCCATTTAGCAGAGTTATAGAAAGCCGGTTGTCACAAATTAGATATGTAGAAAACAGCCTTTGACAATTGCTGGAGCGCTGTACCTGCATGAATCAAGCACGCTTCACACTCTGTTGGTCATACTTTAATCCAAGAACATTTCGTTCCTTATTTAATATCTTAACATCTAGAGTTATTTGTACATACACTCAAAAGAAGTACATGGAACTCGGCTCAGTCGAGACCGAACTCGGAAACTTTTTGCGCGGCGTGAATCCTTTGGAATCAGTCAATATCTTGAGCCCGAAACCAGGGTTGAAGGGAGCCCGTTCAACATGACTCTGGAGTTGAGTGCCAAGGGCCTGGCTGACGGTGCTGGGCAAAGTTTCTGAACCACCATGTACTTGATTGCAATGTACAGACGAGATACAAGGCTTGCTAGTTGGATCAATGTTCTTGTGATCGAGTGGTCATGCGGGGGGCGTGTGGGGTGCCGTCGCTCTTCGGAATGGGAGCAGGCTCCGAAGTAGCAGCCAAGGGACCGTCAATGTCGCCATCTCATGCCCGGATTAGGTGTTTTTGATCGCCCACAACAAATGCCGTGCCCTATTTGTTAGTTCCCAGATCCGGAGCATGCCAAACCTCCCCCTTAGCACAATTGAAGCGGTTGAATTGTTGTGGGAAATCGGCATACGGACTAAGTCCGTGACAAGCGCTGCTGACGCATGAACCAGCCAGGGCTGGTGAGAGTAAAGATGGCTTGATACCCGCTCTCTGGTGGATTGACTGGATCGTCTAGCGGTTCCAGCGAGGACGGGACGCACCGCTCGCACACAGACTAGTCTCGTGAGGGTCCACTATGTGTAAAACTTCGCTACATGCAGATGAGGAATTCGGTCCTTGGACCTGGTTTGAACATGCTGATTTTATGATTTCGGATTTTAGCCATGTATGCTGACTATGAGACGATACCGATAATCTGGCCGACGCAATTGGTCATGTTGATGCGATCAGGAGTGTTGTGAGACTGCGATCCACTTGGGCAGTAAAGTTCGCGAAGCTTTTGTTAAAGATTGATTGGGCCTTATTGCTGACAATCACAGCCTCTTGCGGGCCGACTTATGTGTAAGTTGTGGATTGATCAAGCGGTTCCGGCCCCGGTGTCAGTACTTAGTGATAGGACGCTCGCCACATTCTTCTTCTGACATCACGACAATATGATCCCACTAAGATGGCTGCTTGCCTTTAGTAACTTTAATGGAAAGCAGCAAGCCCTGTGCTTTCCATCATTCCTCAATATCTGCATCCTCCCAAGGCTGAGTGGATTACGTCCGAGAATCCGGCCATTCAGACATCCGACTGGTGGTTGCACTGCCCGGCACATGTAGCGGCCGTGCCGCTGGGAAGACTAGAGCCGAGAAAAAAGGTATTGCCGAAGTCCCGGAAAGGGCACCATGACGAGATTTTCAGGTATACCCATTATCGGCAAACAGAACGCTGTCGTCCAAATGGGGAAAGCTGACTGGCCTCCTTGGAAGATAAACTTCGGCAATTAAGCCATCTCCAGAAGTTAGCTCGACCCAGAGCAGAAATAGCGTCAGTAGCGCGAACACTGTGCGGAGACTCAACTGAGACAATGTGCCGCGACGTTGAGTGCCAACAATCGGCGGGCGTTCTGTGTGGGCGATCACCCAGATCCAGTCTCAGGCACGGGGATTCTTAGTTCCATTGCGTCGGCCAGAAGCGTTGTGCCGTTCGCCGTTTGGTAGCCAGAGTAAGTGTGAGGTTTCGCCGCCACATTCCAGTTTGTGTCAGCTAACTCAGTAAAATCATCTGGATTTGCTGGAATTTACCAAATTTGCCGCCGCATATACCATCCGCTACCTATGGGAACAACTTCGGATCTTAGTAATTACCTTATAGCAGAGGATACTTCGGAATCTTGAAAGTAAAGGAATAAAGACACTAGACTTGGCATTCCTGTTTAGGCTGTTTCTAGATGTTATATTTTCAAGTACGTTAACTAACTCGTCGGTCATGGAATCAGGATCCCGAAATCTTCTTACACCGGCCTAATCCTTGTGTCTATTCGGAAATCTCAGCCTCTCCTATTGACGCTTGCGGTCAAATCCAAGCAACTAACAACGTAGCATCGCGGTAAAAGAATAAGCTACTTTGTCTAAATCCTCGAGCTCAGCTAGCAGAACATAGTTCGCAGAAGCTTCGCTCACTCCAATACGAGGTTTGGTGTCTAGTGCTGGGTTTTGACCCCACAGGAGGGCGAAAGCTTCGGGAAGAATACCTAGTAGCGAACGACCTTATGGCTTGTGGCCTAAAGAGACTTACAAGTGTGACAGTTCAGCTTTACCTCTATGGGGTCGACCTAGAATACGCTTAAGCTTCGAGCCAGGAACTCTACGTCCGTTCATAATCTGCAAGCAGCTTCGAGAAGACCAGGGTGCATGAGCTTAGCATGATAGAGGAATTAGATCGGCGTGGGGTACCAGGCAGGTATCACAAGTCTTTGATCCAGCTCGTGCTCAGCTAGTAGTATCCTGAACGAATATTTCCAGACTAACAGTCATGCTCAGCTCGAGGGCCGGCATCCCTTCGATCCTGCATAGTCTTGTGGCTGTACCTCCTTGTCAGGCTCAGGACGCCATCTTGTCCGGATACGAAGTATCCATTGATGACACTTGAGTTAAGCTTACACCCTCGTCGTTTGCTAGACCACGAACGGACTTTCACCGACTTCGTGGCATGGTCTACAAGAACAGGTATAGGATACTTCATTACCAAGTACATCTCCATCACTAAACCTTGACGGCCCATTCACCTTGAGATTTCATAATCAGTCAAAGACGCAAGCGGATAGCCTCGCGGATCTTCAATGGCGCGATAAAGAAACCAGAGCGCAGACTTGGAATGGCTAGGTCTGCAAAGGCTGAAGCCACCTGACGCTGGATCAATTCCCACGCGATATCCTCCCAGCAGCAACGCCACCGATTACCCCAGTAGCTAACTCTTTAATCTTCTTCCGGAATATTTGAATGATGAGCAAGAACTTAGCTGTCTTGCGGCTTTCTACAAGACTAACATCATCTACACGGATCCGGTGAGGTCTATCTTCCGACTGCTTACCTTCCCACGGCATATAAACTCAACACACATCGGCCCTCTAGTCCGATCCTTTTTCACTAGGCTCTGAACAACCACATTCAAGTTCCTCTGAATGAGCTGCCGCCGAAATGAAGACCCACATGTTGCTAGGCGTTGCGCTATACGCATGTTCGACGGCGGCAGTCACCACTGAGATCAGGGTCATGTCCCTGACGTCGACGGTTGATTGCTCCGTGAGTTTGACCTGTTCCCAAGATATGTTACTAGCAATCACTGATAATATTAAGGGCGCTGCCATACCTACAGGCCTGCCAACAGTACCTATGGGCGTTCCTGGGGCCAATCCCACTGGTGGTGAGTGACATATTCCAATCTCGAGGCTCGCGTTCAACCACTGACCATAATCTTTCAGGCATGGTGCCGGGTGCGACTGTACCTGGCGGGGCTGGCAACCCCCCTGCGTCCACTGGAACTGTCGGTGGCGGTGGAAGTGGTGGCAGTGGAGGTAGCGGCGGTAGTGGGGGAGGTAGCGGAGGTGGAAGCGGTGGTAATGGAGGAGACGGTGGTGGCAATGGAGGAGGTAGCGGAGGTGGCACCGGGGGTGGTGCTACCGGCGGCGGTGCCTCTGGCGGCGGCAACGGAGGAAATGGCGGTGGTGGTGCTGCTACTGGTGGTGGCTCTGGCGGCTCTGGCGGCGGTAACGGCGGCTCAGGCCAGACCGCGACGACTAGAAGTCCGGCTTCAGGCACAGGAGTCGTGGTCGTTCCAACAGCCGGCTCGCAAGCCCTACAACCTGGCAGTTGGCTGTCGGTGGCCATCGGTATCCTGGCTGTGCTGTACTAGAATTCTGGCATTCAAGTAATTGGGGTTTGTCCACGTTTAGTATCGCCTTTGTTATTGGTATATTGAACAACAATGAATAATATTTTGAGTAATTACCATGTCAATAGCACTCCCTGGTGAGATGAAACAAGACTTAAAGGAAAGGAACATATTTATAGATCACTGTCCGCAGATTACTCCAAGTCTGCTAATGAATTCAGAAACTCAAAGTTACCTAAATTCCGAAAGCTGGAGCATCGAATGAGTCATCTCTCGGGGACAGATAAACTGTACGTGTGATCACTCTTTCCTGTCGAGTTGTTTGATTATGTATCTATGTACTCAAGTCTTATTACTACATTACTACACCCGACTAACTGCGGATTGATGTCGATTCAAATATCCAAATGAGCTCTCCCGTACTAAAATCTTTTCACCGAAAATCGAATCTACCCGATTGTCACCTCCATTGACTCTATGACGTGGGCATATGCCTATTTGTTACTCGCGACCGACAGGATTTCGTTGCTGTTGCTGCTCTACAAAAGTTTTCCAAGACGAACAGAACGCCGACAAGCATAATGGCGGCCAATTGCTATAAAGTTAGGCGTAGTAAAACGCCCTTAGCTTCTCATCTCTGCTAAGCTAGACGAAGGGCTATGTACAGGCTGCATATGCATTGACATAATGTCATCTACTTCAATCCTCCAGCCTTTCTGTTTAAACGTCCATGTCACTTCAATATAGCTCGTTGCTATGCTGTGACTTGAACACCGCTCATCGAGCCACCAGCCCGCCAGCCCTCCAGGAATTTTACATAGGCATTGATACCATGTGGAAACGGCGCTCCTCTGGCCAACTTCATTTGTGCCTCGAGTGGGGCCTTTTCGCCCTCATTGTTCATGTAGCTTGGTGTGCATATAGACAAACTAGAGAACCAAGCCGCATGCTGCATAATGAAACCGACATATGCTTCTTCCCCCGCCAATATGCTCTCTATAGTCACCTTATTGGTGCTTTTCCCCGCGCGCTTCATAGCTTCGACTACCATGTATGCGCAATGTTGAGAAAGGACGTCCTGGGCATAAGCAAAGTTTGCCGCGGCGCCGATCTGCAAAGGGCCGGTCAGGAACAGGTTTGGAAAACCGTTGGTGAGGACGCCGTGGAAGGTAGACGGGCCTTTGTCCGACCACTTGTTCGATAGGAGCTCGCCGTTCCGGCCCTTGATGGTCATGTTGGATCTGCTTGATGGCTCGGCCATGTCTGCTGCAGGCGGCCTGTATCCCGTGCTCAGCACAATGACATCGAGAGGATAGTCTGTACCGTCGACGACTAGTGAATTCTTGGTGGCGTGGTCGACTCCCTTGCCATTTGTATCAACAAGGTGTACGTTGGGTAGGTTGAACGCCGGGAGGTAGTCGTCATGGAAGGTCGGTCGCTTGCACCATGATGGGTACCATGGCTTCAAAGCCTCAGCAACTGACTTATTCTTCACAATTTCCTCAACTCGACGTCGAATCCTCTCCGATCTCGGGGCATCCAGGGCGAGAAGACTGCCGATATGGCTGGGAATATCCTCCAATCCAAGAGGTTTCTCGTGTGGTGCGCCGACAAGGCCTTTGTAAGTCTGAATCTTCGTCCAGCCATCATCTACCAAGTCCTCTTCTACCTCGCCGCCAGAAACGAGTGAATTGAAGTTGTCAAGGCGACGCCTCTGCCAGCCAGGGCCGTCGGCAATCTTCTTCCACTCTTCTGGATCAGTAGGCCTCTGGCCTCTCTCTTCCACAGATGACGGCGTTCTTTGGAAGACGTAGAGCTCCTTCGCCCACTTGGCGAGCTGTGGAACGAGCTGAATGGCGGTTGCGCCAGTACCAATGATGCCAACACGTTTTCCCTCAAGGCCAGTAAGCTGGACATTCTCGAGGTCCTCCGCGTTCCCACCAGTGACTTCGTAATTCCACCGCGCAGTATGGAACATGTCGCCCTCAAACGCCTCGAGGTTCTTGGCCGCTTTGGGATGGTTCAGAACACCGTTGGCCAGAACGACGAACTGTGATCGAACCGTCATCGTGATGGGCGACTCATTCGGGCCGCGAACCTGCTCGATAACCACGATCCACCGCTTAGCGTCCTCGTCCCACTCATAACTCTTGATCTGCGAGCGGAACACACCCTTGTCTGTCAAGTCCCATGTCTCTGCCATTCGGTCCGCATGAGCCCGCAACTCGTGGCCATACGAGTATCGGTGCTTGGGAACATAGCCCGTCTCCTCGAGGAGCGGCATGTAGGTGTAGGATTCGACGTCACACATTAGACCCGGGTAACGATTCCAATACCACGTGCCGCCAAATCCACCAGCGGCGTCGACCAGGCGAATATCCTCGGGCTTGAAACCAGCTTGGATGAATCGAATTGCGAACAGCAGCCCTCCGTAGCCGGCGCCGAGGATGATGAACTTCATCTCGTCGCCATCCTTGAGGCTCGGCGTCTGGGCGTTGAGCTTCTCATGATCGACCCATGGGTCTTGGGCCAGCTTGCTGAACTTCGCGTCTGTCTCCATCTCGATGTACTGCGCGTTGCCGTCAGACCGCTGGCGCTTCTCTTTCTCCTCTGTGTACTTCTTGTTGAGAGCCATGAAGTCGGCCGCGGCAGCCCCGGCCGCGGTGTCTGTCGTGATCTGTGGAGATGCAGCCATGTTGACAGTTGACTTGCAGGTCGAATTGAGGTGTAGTTGAGGAAAGTGATTCTGCTTGGTGACCTCTCTATCATGTCTACGAGGAGGCGAATCGTCTAGTTTTGAGTCGCCAAAATATGCGGGTACATGTCCGTTTAGGACAGTCCAAGCGGTGTCCTCAAACAGCTCCAGTGACATATTCCATGCTCGCACTTGTCATCTGGTCTCCATTGGGGTTCCCTAGAAGAGGGCCAAGCATCCCCGCCTACCACGATATTTCTGAGCCGGGGCGTGTTTACGGGTCGTCGTATTGGAGCTTCGTTCTATGGCTAGTCGGGGAGTACTATGAGCCCGACGAGCCATTACTCGCTTCAATGGAGGGACCAGTGCCTCCAGATCGACACAAACGTATTCGTATTCGTTCCACGCATATCTAGTGCAACATAGCAACGTCGCTTAAAGAATGATGCGGTAGTTGATGGTGGATCTTGTCCTCTGCTGGACTAAAACGATCTGAGGATCTACATAGACCCGCCAGGCTTCTAAGGGTCCGGCTCCTGCTCCGCTGCATGGGTAAGCGTTGCGGAGAAGCTGTCGTCCAAAGACAGCCAGATGCGACAAACTCCGCGTGGCCTGGCCTCAAACACCACCTGCATGTCTTGGTGGGTTATCGTGGCTAAGAGTCCTATTATAGGTTGACACTTCAAGAAGTTTGGAGATGAACATGCGTGTCTCGCTTGGGGCCTGGCGAGTGGCGCATCTGCTGCATCATGTATCCATGGTGTCATTGTCCAACGAGTCGATGCACATTGCTCCGTGCAGCACGCTCGGTTTCGAGACTCCAACGCGACTGGCCCACCGCTACGAGACCGAAACCGATCAGACGACTCCATGAACGGGTACTTCCCGCTAGACTGCGCGGGAGCGACCGCCGTGTGCCACAACCAGCTCGCCTGGTGTCATAATTGACCTGCAACAGCATAGATAAAGTGAGGACTGACGGGCGACGTTGACATTTATGCGCTTCTCGTCTTCAGACCCAAGTCTCATAGTGATGTGGTATTAAAGTTGGGGATAAGCTTGCATCAACTCAAATTTGATGTAGCGGGGTATGGGATGGCCGAGTCTATGTTGACCACATGCTGGCGACAGATATAAGTTAGTCTGTGCATGAGCTTGAGTCCGGTACCTGAAGCACCGGTTGACCAGGTTGTCATCCATTCTTGCAACCATATGGCGCGGATCAGTGTAGCCATGGCTATGGACCAGGTGCTCCAACCAGTGCGGTAGAATAAGGATAAACGTTACCCCTCTCGATGTCAATTCATTGAGTGATCCGAGAGCCCATCACAAACCTGGGCGAAGTACTTGAGCAAGTAAGTCAGAATGTACGCGAAGCACTTAACTAAGGTGCCAGTCTCAGAGTGAACAGTCTCGCGCAATGTTCTGCTTGTATTCGTTGTTCAAAAATTGAACTTTGGATCCCACGTGCATCCAAATTGGACGCAACTGAAAATCGACGGCTCGCGATCTAACCACCGACTGGCATTTCTACCCACTTTCGTACATGCCCATCGCATTACTAGTGGCCCCCTGTTCACCTCAACCCCCTGACTTTACCCCTCAAGCGAAACGGAGGGTTTATGTAGAAGCCAGGTATTTGACAATCCAGGCGGGTGCATCATCGCCAGATCAGTTCACTCTTGTGCTTGCTCCAGTGAACGATTGCATCGAACGAAACCTCACGTATTCAGCCAAAAATATCCGTAAGTGAGTTCAAGGTATCCCCTACACACCCATTTATCATAGCTGACCTCAAGTTCAAGCCTCCTGAGATCATGGCTTCCGTCACAATGGATGACTTGCATCTTCCTGACTACGATGACCTTCCGCCTGTCGAGGGCATGCCCAAGGGCTGTGCCTGGGGACTTTTCGACAAGGATGGAAAGAAAGACCTCTTCGGGACCTTAAACCTGCTCACCCCTTCAGTTGTGAAGGCAGCAGGCGCTGAAATACGAGATGGCGTGTCCATCTCGTTGAAGTGAGATGCCCATGTTACCTAGTCACTTAGAGCCAACGCCCCAAGGCTAACACAACGCTATATAGCTGGCCTCTGGACAGCATGAACAAGCTGGCTATCCCTGGACGCAAGCAATCGGTTCATAAGGTGCACACGCTGCAGATTGCCGGCCTTAGTCAAGGGATTGGCTGGGACGACGAGCTAGAGTTCAACACACAAGGCAGCAGTCAGTGGGACAGTCTTGTCCACTGGCAGCATCAGCCGACGGGACTCGCCTACAATGGCTTCAAGCCAACTCAAGAAGAACTTTCGGCGACGTCCACAGCG